CCTTCTTTAAATTAATTTTTATTTAAAAATAAAACAAATTTCTTCTTTGGAGAATCCCTTTTACCATTTTCATCTCTAATTTTATTCCTCTACAAGATCTTATAAACATTATTATTGTCACAATTTTTTAGCTCTAAAGGTTTAAAGTTTGATGTATTTAATTACCACTTCCTCCTTTCAATTTAGGTGTGTACGAATAAAAAAGAAATTATTTTTAGAAAATTGTAATCTAAAACAAGCCTTAAACCATTATGTGGTTATAATTCGCTCATTAGAAATAAGTTAACTTAATTTTAAATATGAAATATTTGATTGAACAAATAAAAAAAGTACCCCCTTCATTCACTTTTATTAATAACATACTTTGCGCTTCCTATAAAATAATAGTAAATGAAATGCATTAATTATAATAGCTTTTTTTTAAAAAAAAGGTGAAATAACGAAGAGATATAGTAATAAATATCAAGGAGAAAAAAACTTATGTTCTCTTGATATGTTAAAGTTAACAAGTAAAAGTTATTTTTAATATAGTGCAAATAACTCCACCTATGTAAACTCACTCATGTTATCGGTCTCAAGTTCAAATAAACGAAGCGAGTAGCCGAGCTAGGGTCAATTCGAAATTAACCTCTCGACCTATAAAGATAGGAATATCATTATATATATCCTATCATCATTTTTAGATCTTGTTTATAAAATTGCCGAGTGAATAAAATATATCATATAAATTGAGAGGATAGTGTTTTACCTAATCTTGTATACTGCCCTTTTTTGGATGTGTAAAAAGGATAGGTTGATTTGATTAATGGGGTTTTAAGTGAATGCCGTTTTAAATGAAAACCCCACTAGATGAGATAAACAGCAAATGGTTTTATCCTTCTCCAACAAAACACAAGATAAGGACAAAATTTTGAGCAATATTTTCCAAGTGTGATTAAATAGTAGTAGCATTATGATTGTAAATGATTTACTACGACTCTTTTAACAAGTGTTAAAATTTACACAAAAAAAGAAAACTTGTCTACAAACTGTTTGATTCCACCATTGCCGAAAGGCATCCTCTCATTCACACTAAAGCCTATAAAAACCCCATAAAAAGTAATGTTTGTTTTAGTTTATTTAATTATTTCAAAACGAAATATGTTTTCTTTAACCATAGTATTCAGATCAGCTTATGCACATCTCACATGTGTGATTTCACACTAGCACATGTATTGTATAGTTTTATTCACCAATTATCATATGTGCGGTTTCACATTAGCACATGTATTGTATAATTGTATGAAGAAAAGACCTAGTGTTTTTTGTTTCCGTTGACGAAAAAGAAGTATAATTTGACCCACATTGATATATATACTAGGCTAGCATGTGGCAAATTCGAAGAACACCTACCCCCTACATGACCAATAGTCTATAATGTTCGAAGAGAAAGAATTATTGGTCTAAAAGTACTATTCCTATTGCATTGCACGGCTTAAATACTTTTGCCGTATACACCTCCAGAGTTTGCTGATATGTTTTTTTAAATTATGGAGGTTCATGAATCTTATTGTTATACTATAGACTTTTAGACAAACATCAAAAGTTGCATAATTGACAAAGTAACTTTCCATATTACAATCGACTTTTCAAACCCAAAATAATATAAAATATGTTTTCTTGTTCTTTGACAGAGTGTACCAAGGAGCGGAGCCAGCATCCAAACCTCCTTTGACGAAAAATCACATTGTTTATACACGACTAAAATTATTTTTCATATTATATAGTAGTCGACTTTGACTGAACTCTTAGTGAAAATCCTGAATCTGTTACGGTCCATGGGATGATGAACGGACGGCAGAAAATGAGAGTTGGTCATGTCACGCTACTATTTTTGAGGATAATATAAAGATAATAGTAACAAGAGATACGGCTTTTACCATACCACGAAAATAAGAGTTAAGGGGAAAAAAAAACATGCGTGCTGACCAAATAGAGTGTAAAAAATGGCTATGACAAATTGACAGAGAAAGAAGCAAGTAGGATTCTCATATTCAAATTTGGATCAGTTGTTGTTGGGCCATTCAAAGATGCCAATCGTGTGGCATTCAGCTTTTTCTTTTGTGTGTACCAAAGGACGACTGCACTAGTGCCGTATAGCTTTCCAACGATAAAATGTTTCAAAAATTATTTCTACGATCAAACCTTTCTATAATAGTCATTCATGTAATCAGTAGCGGAATCAGAATTTTCAATAAAGGGGTTCAAAATCTAAAAAAATAGACACATGAAGTAGCCGAAAGGGGTTCGACATCTACTATATATACCTAAAAAATTATTTTAACCATGTATAAATCATATAATTTTCGGCCGAATGGGGTTCAACCCCTTCATAATAGGGTGGCTCCGCCACTGCATGTAACAACATTTCACTATGACGACTTATAACCGATTTTTATGTAATGTTGTATAAATATGTTTTTTTATAATAACATCTTGCTATAACAATAAAAAGAGATTCAGATAAACAACATTATTATAGAGAGATCTGATTATATTTTAATCTATTATTGCATGTGACTTGTTTTGTCTTCCAAATTACTAAGAGCCTGTTTGGATTGACTTAAAAAAGGTAGTTTTTAAGTCAAAAATAAAAAGTCAAACTGAAATAATTTGTAAGTCAAAAAATAAAAAGCAAGGGGAGACCTACTTTTGATTTCTGACTTATTTTAAGTCATTTTTTTACCTTGTCAAACACTTCGTAACTTATTTTAAGTTATTTTTGACTTATTTTAAGTTATTTTTTATATTTGTCAAACACTTTCAGAAGTCAAAAACAGACTTAAAAGTAGATTTGATCAACTTTTAACTCAATCCAAACACCCTTTTAACTCCATTGTAGTTATCTTCCACTTATTATCGATCTTTATCTGATTGATTTGGTAGTTGTTTTGCGCTTGTAACTCCTCCTCAACTAGGTTTGGGCAGAATAACAAAACAAGTATTAAAAGCATAATAAGTAAGCTTTTCTTGTCATTAGTATCTTTGCTTGCGACAATTATGACATCTCAGGAGAAATGCTAATATACCTAAGACTTCTTAATTGACTCGTTATGAATAGTCCCAAGGCTATGGAACAAAGATTTTTTCAAAATTTTTACCATGTTGTATAGAAAATGAGAAATCAAACTCTTCTTTCTATTATAAAAAAAAAATCATCATGTGGTGCAATTGTGGGTAGTGGACCATTCTAAACTAGCACATGCAGACGACGACGACAACCACGATACCGTCTCTCACTTATTTTTTTTTATATAAGTGTCACCTAGTGTGGACTTTTGGGGCACCACTAAAGAAGGGAGTATTTGTTGTTATTTGTATGACACAACAATTGTTGCTTTTAGAGCTCTAGCAATAATAGTTTGACAAAACTTAGGGTAAAACTTGTCTCCTTTAGAAAACTCACATTCTTTATCAAAGAGTCTACCTTCAATTGGGAACCTCTAAATTATTAAATCACAAGATAAGAAAAAAGAAAAGACAAATAATAATAATAATATCATAAACATATCTCTTTAGTATTGGTCCCACATTGTGTTTTCTCACTCACCCAAACATGTATGTTTCATTGTGGCTTCATTCCAAATCAATGATAAACTTAACAAAGACTATTAAAGATGAACCAATACCTTTTTGGTCATTACAAACTGAGAAAGAAAGGAACAAAAGATTAGTTTATTGGGAAAAGAAGAAGATGAGAGATTAGATGAGATAACAATACTAAAATACTTATCTAATTGCAAACACGTGTAGGATTAAGCTTAAGAAGATGTTTGTTAATCTCACAAGTACTTTAATTGCACGTAGCTTTGCTTGAAAAAGAAAAAGCAGCAATTGTTAAGCTTAGTGCGTTTGACATTTCTATATATGTTATTGAAAGCTAAGTATTTTTGACTCATTTTTCCTCTTTAGTTTTGACTAAAAAGGATTGGTCGGTTTTCAGTTGGGGCTTTAATGATAACGCCTTATAGTATTAAATTAGAAAGTTAACAAATTAGAGGTGGAGAAAGACAAAGCAGAAAGGGGCAAAAAAGGAGTCCAACAAGACATGAGTACCAGGTAAAAAGAGAAAAAGATATATACTAAAACCACATTAATTGTCTTTATTAATTTAGTGGGTTTTCTAGAGGGCAACATCTTTGCAAATTGGACTGGAAAAAATGATGATGAATTCATAAGTCAAAATACTTGTTAGTAGTTGTTCTCATGAGATATATTACTACATCTGAAAAGTTCACATTGATGTATCTAAGCACTAAGCATAATAGTCAAGTCTTACCATTTAAGATATCTCTGTCTTTGTTCAAAACACGCAGCATAATTGGCTAGACAGCTTAGGATAAAAATGTTTCTGCTTAACGACGTGCAACTAAGTTGGAGAGTTGTTGACTATGAGATCAATCATCATCCTTAAAATTACTAAGCAGTAAATTTTAGCTGGTAGGGGTCGGGCACATCTTGCAATTATGGAGGATTTGACACGGTAAAAACTTTAGAGAGGAAGTTGAATAAATTATTGGAGCTAAATATACAACTATAGATGTGCCAAAGCATCGGGTCACTTCAGTATTGAAAAGACTTTTGTCTCGACTTACTTGATCAACTAAAGTAAAAGACTTGTGTCCTCAATCCAAGACTTATCACCTTCCACATGCCTAGCTATAATTTTTCCACAAATGAGGCTACACATATTTCAGCAGGATAGGTATACAGACAAATAAATGTAGAATTAAAAAATTCCATAATGATCATGCTTACTGGAAATGATATTATGCTACTCTGGAATCCATTGGATAAGCCAGCAGTGGCAGAATAATCAATCCATATAAGTCCCCTGCAACAAAAATGGTGGTTGATTTCTTTGACATGTGTTATTTCCTCAGCAAATAAATTGGGATAGAACCTTTATGTTTGTCCATAAAACAAACTAGTCATGAAAATTGTCAGGGGAAATGTACAAAAAAAATCAACTTTTCTTCACCTAAATGAATTATTGGCGACCTTATCTACCCCCAAAAAAGACCACTCAATGTTAATGGATAGCTGATTCCACTACTCTTGAAGACAAACAGTATATCATGTCAGGCCACTTTGAAATACAGGAGCACAACCTAGGCAAACTATAACAGGAAAAAAATGCAGTACAACAATTAATGACTTTCGAGAGAAATTGCTGCATCCCATGAAAAGTATGTAAATACAATAGCTACTATAAACAATTGATAACGTTGTGTTTTAAATTAAAGGGTTAAAAGTACTAGTGAGGTTTTACTAATTCAGCGAAAACGTCGCTAAAATTAAATAACTGCAGATTCTAACAACATTTGTTCACTATTTACTCTAGATTTAAGGTGAGGGAGCTGAGATCAAACAAAGAGCACGTAAGTTAATGAAGCCTTGGATTACATTTCCTACTTTGCAAGATTTACTTCCTTTCCTTCTGATATAAAAGGGTATTAAATGCAAGGAGTCAATCTTTATACTTTTGACAGAAAAAGAAATTGAATGAAGCAACTTTCTACTTTTTTTAATGGCGGAATCAGAAATTAAGTAACTTCCCATATAACTTTTGCTTCCTTTCACCTGATATTCTGAACATTAGATAGATATCTTTGGTATTGGACTGTCCACAGCCCAAATGCAAGTAAAAGATCCAATCAAGTATGAGAAGCCCAATGCAGTTTCAATCGAACTATAAATGCATTGAATTGGACAAGGCAACTTGCCATGATAAATTAATCAACTACCTATTCTTTTACCTAGAGATTCCTCTCCAAACTTGCATGTTTGTTTAATTTTTTCCCAACTGTTGAGCTTGAGAGTAAAGAAACACGATCCCTGTGTTTCAGTCTTTGCATTTGCTGACTAATTTACTATAATCGTTTTCAGTGACAAATGATGGGATGCAGCAATTTCTTAATTTGGTACATTGGAACTAATCATGAATGTTAATTAAAAATAGATATAGCACAAACCATTACCAAAAGATGAGATTTACATTAACTCATTCTAAGTTTCTGCAGATCAACCTCTTTCAGTTCCTCAATATCATCTGCACTGTCTATGGGAATATCGCCACCACAATTAAGAGCCTACAAATGCATCAGCTCGGTAAAGATCAACAATGTAAGAAACTGAACTATAATTTAGCCAAAATACAAGAATAGGCATCAAAGGAGAATTAAATGATTAGAACAAATTGTGACCATTGTAGTTTAAGTGGTATTTTCATGTTGAAGGTTTTCAGCATGTTCCTTGGACCACGAAAGGGAAATCTAAGCCATTATTGAAGAACTCTAGAAATTAAGTTTTAATTGCACTTAACATGGTAAATAATTGAACAATTGGCTCATGATCAAGGCTATAGCTGATAATCAGCCATGAAAATATTATTTCTTATTTTCAACTTACTCTCCTTGTGTTATAATGTTAACCTCATTACCATAACAGCTTCTAACATAAACTAATCACCTTCTTTCTTTAATGAATAACTCGAGACAAAAGTTCTCTTTCCTGGCAAAAGAAGGTGTTTAATCTAGCACTAGTAGAATCCTTGACCAACAGACGATACGGGCAGTAGTCTTATGTATGCTTTGTGATAAGTTTTAGCAGTTTTTCTCAATGAAATTATATATACCAACTAATACTGATACATACTGTTTTAGGAGAAATTAACAAGTACTAATGCAGTCCTTTGCATGCTATTTCATCTTCAATTTCAATGAACCTTTATCTTAATATATAACCCAAAAATAGTTTCTACATTTGTTTCAATCTGCGCAAGAGATGTTTTTGGAAGCTCTTTTATAAAATTATAAGACTTCTCATTTACTTTAGTTTAAGTGTCAGTAATATATTAATTCATACGATATCTTCTATCGTGCCAAGTGTAGCTCATTAGATTCAGTAATATACTAATTTATATAATATCTTCTATGGTGCCAATTTTACATATAGTTGAAAGCTTATGCTACTGCACGAATTGATAGTACTCGATAAACTATGCTCAAGTAGATATATTATGTGCATTGAGAACCTTTTGCAACTATCTGCAGGGACAAATTAGATGAGTAGATTGAAGAAGGTTGTCAAAAGGGTAAAGAGAAGAAAATGAGCAGCAAAAGCTGACTCAATTGGAAATCGACCTCGGGACCCAACTCTTACTGCATATACAATTATATAAGGCTCAATGAGGGATAACAATGAGCAACTAATGAAGGATAAATTGTCTAACATGAGGTAAGAAATGAGAGACATATGAGGAACTACTAGGAAGAGACAAGGGACTCATGGTCCTTGTTACTGAATTTCTTAGCAATGATAGGACAGACATCATCAGCATCAGCCAGCGTCTCTAGGAATGGAAGTTAGTTATTATGGTCCCCGGTTATGGATCTAGTTATGGGACGTTGCAAGATAAAATTTGAAGTTTTTTTTTTATCTATGGTGCTGGTTTGTTAAGAGAGAACCTGCGATCTCTTGAGTTTGAAGTACTCAAAAACTTGACTAATTTTCTGCTTCCCGTTTCCATTGAATTAAAATAATTTAAATATAACATTGGTGGATTAACCACCCACCTAATAACAAGGAAATAACTTCCTACTACAACTGAAATGAGAAAGTGGAGGAATAACCTCATTATTGCTAATAACTACTACAGAGAAAAACAACTGCTACAGGGAAAACACCTTTTACAGAAGACCTACAGAAAAAACTAAAAAACATAAATAATAGTTGTTGATTTAATCAACTTTCTGATTAAACTTTCCATGCATAAAACTATTGGTAGACTAAAAGGGTGCTAACATTAGTGCAGAGTCTGATGGGGGTCATCAAACCAATTCTTGATCATAGTAATTCCATTATTCACTTGCAATCTGAAAACCTGAAATCAAGAAAGAAATATGTTTTCAGGTGCAAAAACAAAATGCCTGGATTTCAATGAAAATTAGATACTTCTCTAGGCACATTTTATGATTAACTAAGAAGACTGTGTGTTCCCACATTTCTGGTTCAAGAAAAACCAACATCCTTCTGAAATGTTATTATTTTAACAAATAATGTGAATATGCTTGTCAACATACGAAGAAGTTGCATGACACTGTAAGATACCACATAGAATCTCTATTTCCGTTCCCCCTCACCCCCCACCCCCGAAATCACATGATCAGATGAGTCATGTACTTAATCTCCCAATCCCCCAGTCCAACATTCAAGAAAACAAGGAAATCCTAAAACAAAAGGATGCTTCTACAAGGATTATTAAAATCATTAAGATGTGCCTAAAAGATCAGCACCTAATACTGTCAAAGCTTTAGTGTAGCTTCCACTTGAGACTACACATAATTCACGATAAGTGCACTTTGAAACTAGCTTTCCATCTGGATCCAGTATATCCAACAATAGACTCACGTAAATGCTTTGACTGGCAGTAAAAATCACGATTTCAAACATATCTGCAACTCTCTCCTAGAATGTCTTGAGATGAGGCCTCTGCTTCATATACACAATGTGTTCTTTCATGTTGAAGGAGACAGGAAATGTAAAGTATGCATCATCACTGTGCTCTAGAGTAGAATGGACAAGTGTTTCTAGACACATCAAACCAATATGCAAGACGTTAGTTTACTTATTGGAGTCAATATGTGCCTCCATTGAGACGTTCTTATTTTTTTCCTAAGTGGCAGTTCACACAATCACTTTGACATATTTGAATCATTCTTTGGTGGGTCTTTTGGTGGTAAGAATTCTCTCTCTCTTTTTCTCTTTCTTTCTCTCTCTCAAATACGTTCTTCCAAGTGAATTATGTACTTCTTCTTGCCCATTCAAAAATAAAAACTGTGATTGTTTTTTATGTGTTATGTAGAAATACAAATGCCACATTTAGTTAGGTTGCAAGTGTGACTTGTATATGAGTCCAACTACGACACTAGCAAACGTGTCTAACAACTGACCTAGATACCTTAATATTTTTCACTTCACAACGTGACACTGTTTCTAACTTTCTGCCTTTTGTTTTGTGGTGCTAAATAGTAATTTTTTAAAGAATACCTTCTAGTTTTTTGTTTTGCTTGTAGACTATTTACTTTGCTTTGCTTTCTATTTCAGTCCTTCCCAAGAATAAGACCTCCTTCCTAGAATGACCAAAGAACAACTTGCAAACGAGAGGTTATTCACCGTGCAGCAGATGTTATTTATGTAATTCTGAGTAGGAAACAGTTGATCAGGTATTCTTACATAGCAGCTTCTCAAGACAATGCTGGGAACTTTTCTTTAGCATCATGGGCATATATTTGGTATTACCACAGAAGATCAACAACCCTTCGGAAGTTTGGCAGTTTAAAAAGTTAAAAGCTAGGGGGCTTGAAGTAGATATGTAAGATTATTCCAAATTACATACTGAGGACAATATGGTTGAAAGAGAACTAAGCATGTTTTGAGTGGAAGAGACTGCAGATACATAGAGTCAAAAACAAATATATCAATGTTATAGTAATACTCTTGATATGATGGATAAGTATTAGGAATTTTGCACTTACTAGGGAAAAAAATGTAGTGTGTTTGGAGTTAGAGCTATAGTTAGGTCCTGTAAAATGGTTGTAAGAACAACAGCATTATATGGGAACGGATGTTGGGTCTCCAAAAATAACATATCCACATTGTCAAGACTCAAGACTCATATGAATGCGAATAAAATGGATATGTATTCATGTTGGAATGTATGCGTCCACCTATGTAAATGGGACCAGGTCCTCAACACAATCAAAATAAATAGTAAACAACAAATGCTGGAAGTAAGAATAACAATCAACTTTACGTAGAAACCTCCTTGCTCAAGGGAGTAAAACCACGATCTGGCCTACCAGGACTTTTCAAACTGCTTTCACTAATCTTCTCAAGCAAAAGTAAAAGTCAGTTTACATACTGAGATTAGCCTACTAATCCCAACTCTAAGCAATACCTCAGATTACTTAGCTGAGCCAGAGCAACTCTAAGCAATACCTCATATTACTTAGCTGAGCCAGAGCAGATACAACACTGCCCACTATTCTAATTCTAACCGATTAGTATAGACTTTAGAGTAAGAAACTAAGTTACCCTTAACCTAGTTCTTACAATGATTCACACAAGTTTGAAACATTTCTTTCACAAGTGAAACAAATCTTACAATATAAGCACTATTACAAGCAGACAAATGCAGCTGGTACTGAAAGCAAATAAAAGCACTTCTATCAGGTCCCTTGATGTTTTGAAGCTTGAAAGTATCTCTCTTTGAATGAATATTGAATAATGTTGTTTGTTGTTTGATATATACCATGAGGAATCATTATCCAACGTACAAACAACCTCGTCGCTTCTGATTGGTGAAGTACTCTGCAGCTTCAACAACTTTCTGACGCGGACAGTTTTACAGCTATTCAGCACTTTGACACTGGACGAGTATTCATACTCTGCAGAGGACCAAGTCCCTGCACTTGTGAGGATATCATCAAAACATCTAGGAACATTAGTCTTTATCAATTCCCCCATTTTTAATAATGACAAACAATCTTCATTAACTCCTAGTGAGTGAATAAACATTCATTCAATTTCGGTCACTGGTGTTCCCCCTTAATCCATTCCCCCTTTAATCAGTTCCCCCTAACAAGATGCAAACAAAAGTTTCCCCATTTTGACATCATTGAAAAGGTGGAGCAGTAAACGTATTCAAGTTAAAATGCGAGGCATGCAAGAATTCAGGGCCATGGGCCACACAGAACATGCGTATGACAGCATAAAGAGATAATTAAACCATACATAAACAAGGCAGAAACATAAGTAGCATTATATCATAAATACTGACCATTGTAGTCAGTCTAAACAACACAAAGCAACAAGAGTTTAGGATAATAAGGTGGAACAAAGAAACAACAACTAGAGAGACATGACACATTTAGGACGGAGGATAGGAGGAATTAAAAGTGCGCATCAATATCATCATGCGCTCGTTTGCACTTTCATGGGCCTGTATCAGTTGCCTGTTTAGGGACTTAATTTCCTCATTGAGAGAGGCATTTGTCTCCAGCAGCACTGTGTTTTCATCCCTCAACTCTTTGAGCACCTGCTCATGACCCTCATTGGTACCAGGTCCCCTGGAAACAACTTTCTGCAATTCAGACTTGAACCTACTGATTCCAACTTCCTTGTCGCTCAGAATCGTGGTGAGATTAGTCACCTTCTCTTAAGAGTAGCTTGCTGCTCCAGTACATCCGCCACTTAAGATCTGCCCTTAGCCTGTCCCTCAATGCACTCACATTCTAGTAGAGTAGACATAGTGAACGTCTGCTTGGTGGTACCAGGTACCCATTTTCCCACTGGAACTTCAAAATGGTTAAAGACAAAGTTTAGCAAATACCCATAGGGAATGTCGTGCTTGGCATTCTTCCATGTTATTACTCTATGCATATGTTCCAACATAATAGCAGGGATGTTGATTTCCTCAAGCTCATCAAGTTTTTCCATGAGGAAAAGATCGGCAGCAGAAGCCACTGTTCTCTTTTTTCAGTCCGGGGCACCATTACTTTGTTAATAAACTCGAACATCAACTGAGACTCCCCTTTAAGAAACTTCTTAGGGAGCCCTGCACGCTTGACATTTCCTCGTTTGGTAGCAAGTTTTGAGAAATCACCAGTTGGTTTACAGTCCTCAATAGTTCGAATTCCTACCACAGGCACTCCAAGAATGATTCCTAGAGTCTCTTCATCAAGATGAATCTCCACATTCTTTGACAATGGTTTTAATTCCACCCCCTTCCAGTAGTTCCATTTTGTAGAAGAATTCACGCACTTCAGGTTCGTGCAAGTATGGAACTGGTGATTCTAAAAGATGATTCCATCCTGATGACAGCGTCAACCAGATTGGCCATCCCAAATTTTGTTAGAATGTCAGGATCAAAGACTATACCATTCAATATTTTTTGTTGCTTTATTTTCTCTATCCGCTCTTCTCTAATCAATTCCTTTTCTTTGATTTGATCTTTAACCCTGGGACCAGGTCCCTTTACGGGTTCAACTGCCTTTTTCCTTTTACAAGTGGTGTCTACTTTGTAACATTCACCCTCTTTACAGGTGATTTCTTTCCCCCTTTTTGATTTCCCTTGGATTTAACCCTTTCTTCCTCAGCTTCTCTTCTCCTTTTTGCCACGTACTTGGCAGCATCCTCAGATTCAGTTTCACTATTCTCAATGGACAGGGGAGAAAAGGCAGGTTATTCAGGTTCAGCCCCCTCTCTCCTCCTCTTTCAATTTCTCTCAGTTTGGGCTTTGCTTGCAATAATCGCACTCCCCATAACCTTTTGTGTTTCACTTCTTGTAACATACTTTCT